GCGCAGCACCAGCAGCAGCCACACGGGAGGCCACCCGCGGTGCTTCTTCGCGGGTCTCCTCACCGCCAACCGGGGGTCTGCAACGGGACGGAAGGGGCTGTCAGTCCCCTGCAGAGCGCCGCCATGTCAGCGCCCCGCCGAGGCGAGAGCGAGGGCCGCGCAGGCCGAGGGGCAACTGGCGCCCCGAGGCGCGCGAGGAGTCCAGAGGGACAACAGCGAGGCGGCGAAGAGCTGTCAGTCACGTTGCTCTCGGACGGGGCGAGAGGTGAAGATCTCTCTCTGCGGAGCTTTCCAGAGGAGACCGGCCCGGGTCCCTCCGGGGCCCATTCCAGCAGCTCCGCACCCGGCATCCAGTCCCCCACCCCCCTGTATGTGCGCTCCTGGGGGCGGGGAGATGTGCGTCGCAAGCAAAACGACGCTCCCGCCCGTCACGCCGTCCCCCAAAGCCCCGGGAACGGGAACGGAGCACCTTTGTAAGACTTTTTAAAAAAAAAATAACCCACCGATTTTTTTTTTAGCCCAGTGCCTTTGGCTTTTAAACTGGGAGAAAAAGAAGAAGGCGAGGAACATACTGCTAGTAATGATGGGTTAATAAAGCTGGATTTTTTTTTTAACGATCCTGTGAAGCAGGTTATTGGTAAATGCTAAGAAGAGATGAGAAAATGTGGCTTTTTTCTGTGCAAGGCATTGGCAGAAAGGAACATTGCTGTATGTTTAAAAAATGTATAAGAGGTTGTAAAGCTGATTCCACTACAGATGCAAGGATTCGCAGAGTGATGAATGGCAACGAAGCAATAAAAGTCACCAAAGTCTAAATGAATAGAATCTCGCCTAAATTAGCATGTGTGAACCCAATCCATTTTATTTTATGAATTCTAGTTATTCACATTTAGAATTGACAAAATATTTAATTGGTGGACACTACTTCAGACACGAAGGATTAATACTGAAGCTCAACCTCAGATACTTTGGCCACCTAATGCGAAGAGAGGACTCTTTGGAAAAGAC